AAAAAAAAAAAAAAATTGAAAAACATTAAAATTTGTGTGTCATTAAAATTTGAAATACATTTTTTTAATTAAAAAGCAGCTTTATTTGTGAGGATTCCCTAGATTCGTAAACCAATTACCTCAAAAATTTAACTATAAAGATAATATAATTCATAATATTACATAAAAATCTCATTTCAAATTATCTACAAATACAAAAAGACAACTATTGAAATTACAAAAAAAAGTTAGTTTAATTTCTTGAAATCTTGGCAATATTATAAATACTAGTACAACACCCGTGTATTACACGGGTGCTTGCTAATTTTTTTCTTAAAATCTAAAATTAATGAGAAAAAGTAGTTTGAAAATTTAAATACCTTTTATAAGAAAATATATATTATTATATATTTATTATGACACTTTTTATTTGTGCAACTTACTTGTCTTATATTATAACACATTACATATAAATATATCAATGAGAAATAATTTTTTTTTTCTAATGAATTTTAATAAATATAATTATTTTTTATTATTATAAAGATAAATATAATTTATAACTACATTACATATAAATATAGCAATTGAGAAACAATTTTATTTTTCTAATGAATTTTAATAAATATTATTATTTTTTATTATTATAAAGATAAATATAATTTATTTATTTCATATATACAATATGGATGTCAAATCGAAGATCATCAAAAGATGATTAATTTGATATATTATATATATAAAACCGATAAGAAATACAAAAATTATCAACTTTTAAAATACATTTATAGTTCAATAGATTATTGAAGAAAACAAATCAAAATTCAGGGATATATTAGTCACTTAGTGTCTCACTATGTAAAATTACAAAGAATTAAAGGGTTATATTAGTAAGAGTGATATTAAAATACTTAAGTTAGCTAAATAATATTTATGGAATACCCAACCTAGATTATTAATTATTAATATATCAATATTATTTATCCAAACCTAATTACGAAGCATGATTCTTCGCCAAATAGGATTCCGAAGCACTAGAAGCATCCACGTAATC